GATGTACTGGAGACCATGGGCGGTGCAATCCAAAACAAATTGTTGACTGCGACACACACCAACATGTTCCTCTCCTGTTCCCGTGTTGCGTAGTTTATGTCATGATCTGCCGGATCTGACGCTTTGGTTTAATGGGTTCAAAAAACAATTTGAGAAGTCCAGTTGCAAGTTAACATAGCCCCCGTTTCCAGAAGACAACTATAATTCCGGAATTGCATGAACCCCAACACAATCATGATAATCTCATGCTGTCAGCAAGCAGTTCATATTGCTTTGAGCCTTGACTTAGATCCCACTGATGATCTCCCGGAGGGCCCTTTCCAAAGTGGCTGCATGCTTTTAAATTGTGGAACCCCCATGCAAAAAACGATTGCATGAACCTATTCTTTTTGCCGTACCCCCCTTGTACATGATGTGTATCATTGGCTTGTTGCCATGTTTTTCAAGGGCTTTCTCTTGGTTGAAGGTCGGGAAGATGGCCCAGCACAGCTAGATCCTGGAATGTTACAGCTTCGAGAAAAACCTTTCGCCATTACGATCGAGCCGATTGTGATTGTTCACATGATGCTCCCGGCGTGGCGTATTCATTCAGATGCATCTTGTATCCGTGACGTTCCGATCTGCACCATGGGCTTGTTTGCACTTGTTGAAAGTTCTGAACATCTCAAGCCCAGAGGGCCCCACGGACATGACCAAATCGATCAAGCAAGTCTGGTTACAGGTATGGCAAAACCAGCAGCAACTCCAAAGGTATGCAAAGATAACAAGAAGTTTCTGCTTTGTTTTGCGCGGGACAGCAGACAATGTCAACATGAGCCAAGACATGTTACATCGCACAAAACCTATTCAATCCACCACAAGATACTGTAAGTGTCATTCTGTGGCAATGGTTGCCAATGGAACATCCAAGCTCCGGACAAAGGCGGACCGACGGCCACCAACGGGTTTGCAAGACTTCCTAGCCATCAGTTGTCTTCAGTTGCTGCCTTGGGCTCACCGGAATGTTCATATCAGGTGCTTGGGACATTTGTCTGAGTCTTGCACGTTTGCAAATGCCCGCAGTGAAGCACTGACATGTTTAAGTGATGCCGGTGTGTCGGCAATTGTTGTGAGCGCTAGCTGTCCACTTGTGCTTCTGAAGCCGCTATGCAGCTTGCTGAATAGGTGTTTTCCTGCATGAAAATCGTCCAAAACTTGTTGGGCACCTCAGCAAGCCACGAGGCGTAGTGTCTAACGTCTTCCGTCCTTTGCGCACATGCAGACTCTGCAATTGCTGATGGTGTTGACCGAAAGTGCCATCAGGCTGTAACTGGCCGCTTACATGAGTGACGCAATTAGGTTGACATGCGTTTCCCACAGCTAATGCATGCATTTTCTGTTCCTGGCGCCATGGCGTTCGCATCGCCAGCTTTGTCGGCCGAGGGGCATGTGCCCTGGCAGGCTTAAGGACAGTTGTAGCTTTGTAGATTAGTGCCTTCGTCAGCGGTTGCCCGCACAGGCTTTGATGCTCAACTTTGACGACTTGATACGCCCACGACCTAGTGATGCCGGGCTTGACTGGCCCACACATTTGAAGGTAAAACAGGCTCCGGAACTGAAAAGCATACGCGCCCTGATCGGCTGAGGTCGCAGGCATGAGCAGTTGGAAGCGAACCTCAGGCCGTCTGTAGAAATAATCGTTACTCAGTGGAAGTGTAAGTATCGCGGCTTAATCATGTTTTGGCCCTCAGCCCATCTCAATGATTGCACCTGCGCTGGTAGCCATTTGTCTAATGCAAAAGCCTACGCAACCCATATGGCGCTATGTGTGTAAGTTCAACAAGACCGTTGCTGACAGATGCGCTTGGCAGTGGCATGCAGTCTTACAGAGCCGCTGCAATGATTTTCCTTTTAGTCAGCTCCGCAAGGGCCATTCAAGATGGCCTTGCCTAGGGCCTAGGGCTTTGTATGCCCTGTCCAGGACTGTTCTTGAGCGGCAAGAACTGCAAATGCAGCATCTACTTGGCTCGATGACAAGCCTGCGCCCCAGTTGCGCCCCAGTTACTCCCCAGGGTGGATTCTTGACATGTGTGGTGTCGACTGGGAGTTCATGCTTCAGAGGTGTGCAAAAGTGAACGCATCAAGTGCATGAGATTTCTAATCCTGTTTGCCATCTGGTAAGCTAGCCAGCTTTGATGGCAGGGAAGATCTGTGATTTTGCAAGGGCACATGACATATAGCATTCCTGAAGAGTACTTGTATTTGTACTTTTGCCCGATGATTTTCATTCTGCTGCTTGCATGCCAATCTTGACACAGGCAAGTATGACAGGTGGAGCGCCCAAAAATCTCCTTCATCCCTTAAGCACGGGAACTCCACCCCTATCAGCTTCTGCATGCCTTTCCAGTGTTTTCTTGCAACATTGAAGACCTGGCTCTGGCCGGCTGAGGTTTCAGCTCCGCCTTGCAGGAGAAAGCTTGCCAGGAATGGCAGTTTCAGGCCTTGGGGCTTGTAGATTTGGGGCATTACGGGTGGTCAACTGAGCTTCATTGAAGGTACGACTCATATCTGTAGAAGCGGAGGATCGACAACTTCCCAGGGCTTCATTAGCAGACGCGCGTCAGGCAGCGGCGAGCCTGCCTGTGTCGCCCATTGAGTTCACGGATGATGCTGTGCAACCGGCTCGTCTTGTCGGCTTCAATGAAGCCATTCTCGTCCGTCCGCTATATAGCAAAGCAGCCTCTCATGTTGTGGTGAAGGTGCCTTCGGAGAAGGCCTCGGTTACTTCCGAAAGAACGCCCGCTTCTCCAGGGGAGGGGTTCCCAAACAGATTGGTTCCGAGCCGGCACACAAGCTTACATGCTCTTAGCCTTTGCGGTGAAAGGCAGTCCAAGTAAAGTAGTAAAATGGCGCTTCGTAGATGCCCAGGATCTCGAAGTCGAGCTTGAGATGAGCAACAGGGCGTCAGAGGGATCCTTAGGCACCGCCTGGGATGAGCTGTGATGTGATGGTCCTCAGCATCCGGTTTTATATCAGACAAGGCATACTCCTGTGGGCATGTGCCAGGACCAGATGCTTATCAAATAGTTAGAATAGTTCCCTGAAAGGCTCCTGCATGCCAACGGCATGTGCCCATGTCTGAGTATTGTGTCGAACGGCAGCCCAGCCAAAGTTCTGAGATGATGGCTACATGTGCAGGTGAAGGGCGTGGCGATTTCCAAGCCGCAAAATCCAGGCAATTTCTGCATGGCAGTGTGCGATTGACTTTTTTCTCGACGTTCGCGTTAGCGACGATTGTCGCTCGGGAACTAAAGCACAGGTCCAAAGGCACCGTTGCACGCACGACGGTGAGATCGATAGCAGCTAGGTTGGAAGCCTGAAGCAGGCCTTTCCGCAACGATCTAGCCTTTGCCTCACGTTTCCAGATTCTTACTTCACGTCAGGCAGCAGCACGGTAGCTCGGATCAGAAGCCTGTAGAGAGATTTTCAATGTTCTATCGGAGTGGTGGTGAGGTATGGACGTGCCTGTAATCTCAGGAAGGAGTAGATGACTCTCTTCAATCTCGAGCCCGAGCCATCTTGAGTGCCTTGATGGATGATGATTGGGGCTGCCCAACATGATGGGTTTTCATTGTTGGTTGCTTTTGTATGATTAAGGTCTTAGATCTGTAGAGGACACGCGTGCATGCAAGCGTGACTGACTGACCGACCGACCGACCGACCGACCGACTGACTGACTGACTGACTGACTGACTGACTGGCTTTGACGTTTCCATATGGTTGCTACGGTGCTCAGTGCACAGCCAAGATCATACTGGGGCGGAAGTTTTTGTGGCGGCCATTACTTGCCTGAGCGCCTTCATGGTGGGCTGGCAGGCAGCTTGGTCTCTCGCGTTTGGTAGTCGAGTTCTTTCTGCAGAGAGTTTAACTCGATGGGCAGAGGGAGATAGACATACAGCTTCAGCAGGATCTTGCGTGCAAATCTACTCTTCTGCTTAAGGAGCCACAAAAAGAGAAGATCGCGATGACTGCTTTCCGGACATGCTAGCTTTCCTTGATCAGGTAGATGATGCTGCTGCGTATGCAGACATGCCGAGCCGTCGAACACCTGCGTACTTCAACATTGTGAATCACGCTCCTGGTCCTTGTTGGGACAGTCACCTTCTGAAGCATGAGGAAGTAAGGCGGAGGAATGGGTTGGGGCTGGGTTACCCGGTCTTCTGTTTGCATGAACTCCATAGTCCTGCAGTGAAATGAGGGATACAAATTTCTTTAGAAGCCGGTCTCTTGAGTTAAGCAAGATCACGATGCCTGAAACGTGTTTTTCGAAGTTTGAGCGCTGAGCAGTGCTCCAGGTCGGGCCATCATCTGCATGTTGGCTCCCGGCTCTGGGCAGTTGTAGTCAGCTGAGGCTCTGACGTTATGCTTTCTCATGGAGCTGCTCGACGCAAAGCCTGAATGCCAAATACTTGTTATCAGAAGGAACCCTGGGGCAATAGAAGCTACTTCACCCTTGGTGGACAATGCGGTTAGAGCAGCTAGTAGGCTAGATTGTGGCGCACTTTACATGCTTGCCGGCTAACAACAGGCCGGCTGCCGCCTTGGCAATCATGTGACATTTGCCTGCTTGCACACTGTCGTGGCATCTTTGATGAGGCTTCTCCTGAGAATCTTCGCGTATGGGAAGGAGTTTATCTTGTCCGAAGATCGAAACTGGAACCTTCTCGATGTTGTGATTGCCGTAGCCTCAGATTCCTACAAGGCATAGATAAGCTTGCAAAGGTGCGGGGGAACAGGCCTGCAATGCCAAGAACATGAAGAAAGAGAAGAGCCATCGACGCATAGGGTACGCACCGAGGTAATTTGTGCTTTGGTCGAGTTCTTTCTTGACCTTGTCGACTCGTTCTCCGGCTTGCGTGGCTGGGAAGCGAAGAGCAAAGCAGTGTGTATGGCAGCTGCAGCTACAGCATTGCTGAGCATGGAGCTGCCTAGGAGATGGCGCTGGCGCAGATCTTTCCATCATGAAAGCCATGCGTGTTGTCCGTATCCTGCGGCTGGTGCGCGTCGTGCGGGCCCCGCCGCACGCATTCAGCCAGTGGTCGCAATCTTTCTGACGAAAGATGGTGTTGATGTTTCCTTAGATAACCTGTCAACATGTAGAAGAAGTACAGTGAAACTCAGGTAGTCCGATTCTTTCGTGCTCTTCGTGTGCTCATCGCATCGATTGTGCACACCCTTCGGCCCTTTGATCGCTTCAAAGATGATGTCCAAGTTGCATTAGTTAGCTGGGGGGATGTGATGACTCTGCCTATGAAGGTCTGTTGTTTGGGCACTGATCCTGCTTTTCCTCATCATGCCAGAGCCCTACCTGCCATGCATGTTGTGTGCATCTGGCAGTCGTTGACATATTGTTTTGTTGCCCCTGAGGTATACCTTCGGCATATTGTTCACACACGCCTATACGGACTATGCATCCCACGGGGGGCACGGTTCGCCCACGACTGAGGAGGAGTTGAAAAGACATTTCGGCTCAGTCCTCGTGTGGCTGGGCCGCAGTTGAAGTTGGCACATTGGCTTGTTTTTCGGGGTCCCTGTTAGCGTGAGACTGCTCTCGCTGTTTGTACACATGCTCCTCGCCGATGTTGCTCCTTTGGTTCACGCTTTTCAGCCCCTTCAACTGAAGGATTCGTGTATTTCTGGAGCCTCAACATAAGTTTTCTAGGAGTGACCTTGTAGCTTTCCAAGTCGTCTGGCGTGTTCGCTTGCTTTAAAGCCGTTCGGGGCCTCCTATGGGGCAGGGGTTGATTGCATTTCGGGAGGCATTGCGGTTGTACTTCGTGTGTACCCATGCAACACACGTGTGCAAATCCACAACATGAACAGCAGATGTTCTGCCAGGTCGATCCTAAACTTGTTCGCAGCCATCAGTGATGGCGTCAGCTGGATCAACCTCATCACGCCTCTTTGGGAAGCCAATGGGGTCTGGCTCGGCATGCTGCTTGCCGTGGATTTGTCTTAGTGGCACTGAACTGCTTGCCTTTTTGGTGGTCACACCTTCATAATGGTTGGATGTTACCTGTTCCGTGGCCCGAGCAAAAAAGCAGTTCAGAGAAGGGTAAAACTGACAGCTTGCGCACCGGCAGAGAATATAAGTAGTGTTTGTCATGGATGACTTTGCAAGAGCATGAGTTGTTGGCTGTCCAGTGCTGTTGTGGCGGGGCTGGAGCCATCTCTTTGCACAGCATCTTAAGTGTTTGTTGTCATGTTCCATTGTTCCATAGTCATCAGATAGTTAGCTTGCCGTTGCTGTTCATTCGCCCCAGTATATTATGTCTTTGATGTTTGCTGCTGTTTGTTGATGTCCCCCCCCTTGCTTTGCTTTGATCAGGTGGATGCAACAAAATATGCATGACCCTAATTGCAGGATTTTTTTGTGTCAACAGTAAGTTGATGTGCGATTGGTGGCAGCAGTGCCAGTGCTCATCGTGCTACAATCATTCTTCATGCTTATTGTCTTCTTACTATTACTATTGCTACTGCTTTTGTTGTTATTATTGTTTGTATTACTACTATGACTACTAGTACCAGTACTACTGCTGCTGCTACTACTTCTTCTTCTCACTACTACTACTACTACTGCTACTACTACTACTACTACTATTACTACTATTATTATGACTACTACTACTACGACTACTGCTACTACTACTACTACTACTACTACTAGTAGTGCTACCACTACTCCATTCCATCACAGCAGGTCGTCAATCAGCTTGTGTACAGCTCAGTGGCAGCGACTGCATGCCGACGCATCAAGTGCGCTTAAACCACTGTGGGGGTCAATGCTACCAGTAGCCATGTGAATGACTCCAGTCAACATCCAACAGACAGTACAAGGAGCTTGCTCCTTCGCATTCCTTCGCTATACACTATACAGCAAGTTCTCACTGAAATGTCAGCTCAATAGAGGAGAAGCTTTCTGGGCACTTCTAGCTGTAGATCTCCACATCGCGCAGACAGGTGCTAGCATCGTGCAAATTGCCTCTTCAACCTTGTGCACTGCAGGCCTGCTTGAGTCAGCGGCTCGCGCGGGCCATGTGTAGCAGGAGCGAAGAATCCACAGCGAATGACCCACATTCCCGAAGATGGACACCCATTGGCGGTCGCCGGGAACGATCCCACTTAGTCATGAACATGGTGGCCGACA